ACCTGGGCCTGCATGCATCAACCCTGGGCTGGGGGGCCGGGAGTCCGGCAAGGTGGGCCGGCCCTCTAGGAGCCGAGGGCGGAGGCCTCTCCCGGCTCCAGAAGTCTAGACCCAGGCACCACTGCTGGCATCCCAGACCACGCCCACCGCAAGCGGGACCCTCCCAGCGGCCTTCCTCACCCGCCCCACCCCTGGTGCAGCCCACTCCAGGCACCCGGGCCCAGCAGGCGCCCACAGGAAGTCCTGCTCTGCGTGCTGCGTTTCCAGACACAGGAGCACGAGGCTCCTAGCCCGCCCCACCCCCGCCCCACTGCCCTTGGCTCCTCGGCATCCGCTCTGTCCTAGGTTCACGGATGCCAGCACCGCATGGGTGTCAGGCTGCGTCTGTGTGGGCAGGACAAGCCCGTCACCTTTTCTCTGCGGGACGTCCTGGCTCCCAGCATGTGGCCCATGCTGACGATGGGCCGCAGACCACGGGGCTTGGGGATGAAGCGCAGTCTCCAGGTCGGCAGGGAAGGCCGGGCTTCCTGGAGGCGGCGGAGCTCAGTGCCTGACAGCTCTCGCAGCCACACCCTCTGGAGGTGCTGCCTACAACAGCAACTCGTGTGACGCACGCCCAGACAGGCCAGCGCCCGTGTGGCCCACGCCACCAGAGCTGCAGAGCTGCACACGTCAGCCCACGCCACAGGGCTCGGCCTGCCACGCAGACCACACTGTGCCCACAGACAGCTTCCCCCTGCAGCATGCCCTGGGAAGCCCAACTGGCCTTGGTCAGTGCTCAGGCACGGGTGGGAAGAGCCCAGGCCAGGTGCGGAGGGCCTGGAGGAGTCCTTGTCTCCCTGGCAGGAGGGCTGGCTCAAGCTCAGTGCCCATGGCCAGGGCTGCACTCCAGGGAAGCTGAAGCCTGCCCAGCCTGAGCGAGGTAGGGCCCATCCCCTCAGACGGGGCCCGGCTCAGGACGGCCAGAGTCATCCACCGTGGCAACGCCGGCTGGACCCGAGCCCTCTGGAGGCAGTCAGCCTGGCAGAAGTCGTTCCCCAAAGCGGAGGCTCCTCGCCCAGGTATTCCCCACTATGCGTGGCCGTGAAGGCGGGCTTCCCTGAGCCCTGCCCAGGCCGCTAGCAGCACGGGGATGGTCGAAACAGCCTGGCCAGCCGCCAGGAAGCAGGCGGCCACTTCTGTGCAACATAAGCCTTTTCCACTTTCGGGTCCCCAAGATCATTGGGCCAATCCCTGACTTTGCAGGCTAGGGCAGGGGCCAGACCGCGGTGCGTGCAGTACCTCACTCCGACGCTCTGCAGCTGGCACCAGACGCTCTTGCGGTAGAAGAAGAGCCGGTTCCTCTGGAATGTGGTTTCGGTGACGTAGAAGAAGGAGCGGAGCAGCTCAGCCACATAGGTGCCCATCAGCCAGAGCAGGAGCCTGGCCAGCAGCGCCTCCCTCCGACGGTGCTCGGCAGCCGGGACGCAGCGGTGCCCTGCAATGGCAAGGAGGTTGTGCCCTCAGCCTGCCTGCCGGCGGCTGCCCAGATCTGACACGCCACGCAGAGCTGCTGCCAGAGACTCGGTGGGGCCCAACTGGCGAGGGCCACGTGCTGACCAACAGCCAGAGTGTATGAGGGCCAGCCAGCAGAACCCTGCCGTGCTGATGCCCCAGGATGTCGCCCAGTCACATTTCAACACACGTCACTGGGCCTGCGCATGGTGTGGTGGTTATGGCACTGGACTCCCATGTGGCTGATCACAGTCCAAGGCCCAGACCTGGAGGCTTGAGAGTCATGCCAGATGCGTATGGATGTCCCAGGATCCCGGGGGGACTGCAGCCCGGCCCCTCTGGGATTTCTCACGTCCCCCCACTTGGCCTCTCTGGTGAGCACTTGCACTATGGCAAATACGAAGAAAAGCAAAACACAGAATCCTCGTGAAGCCGCAGGAGCAGGCACTGCAGGCTGCCCGACACCTGCCACAGAGGGGGACCTAAGAGGTCTGAGCGGAAGAGAGCCACGGGGATGCCATCCACCCGCCAACTCTGCAGCAGACTGGGAGACGAGCTGGATAAACGCTGAGTGCGGAAACCCTCTGACAGCACGCTGGGGGTGCCCAAGACCGCACAGCACGGAGACGGCACGCGAGTGGGCGGCGGTCAGCGTGCCAGCGCACTGAGGCCCTGTGCTGGGGAGAGCAGTATTTTATTTATTTTTTGGAGAGGTTTTTTGCTATAGGGCACATGCACTTGCCAAAAAGACAGAAAGACAGAGAGGGACAGAGAGACAGAAAGCGAGAAATCACCCCCCGGGGGGATGGCCACGCCGCAATCCCCTCTCTTCCATTCTCCTCTCAGGATCTTGGGCACGCATGCACACGTGCCTAGCATGAATTTAAGCCACCGGGTCCAGGACTCAAACTACGGCTGACTACATGGCCACACGGCCACCACTGGCCACACGGCACGCTCCCAGGCCTCCACTGGTCATGCTCCCCGGCCCCACTTGGTCCCCTCACCTGGACTCTGGCACAGCCAGGTGCAGTCCTGCACCCTCATCTTCCAGGTCAGCTCCCGCAGGGAGAGCTTGCCATGCCTGCCCAGCGAGACGAGCCGCTTGGTGTTCTTCAGGAAGCGGCGCTGGTTGTGCCTGGAGCCCCAGAGGCGGGCGGGCACCAGGCGGCGCAGACAGGCCCGCAGAAAGGCGTACACCTGCCAGGGCGTGCTGTGGTGGCGGAGCAGGCCCACCAGGTGCTGTGCCCCTGCCTCCTCCTCGGGGGGCCCTGCTGGCCTGGAGGGCCCCCTGCCGCGGGCTGTCTCTGTGACTGGGGCTCGCAGAGGGCAGTGCGTCCTGAGGAGCTCGGCATACGGGCACCGCCTATGGTTGCCCAGCAGCTCTTGGAAAAGGGGCCGCATCCTCCAGAGGCGCGGGGACAGGCGTCTGGGGGGCCCTGGCCGCCGGGGCACGGGGCCCAGGAAGATGGTCTCCACCAGCCTCCGAGCTCCCACCAGGCTGGGCGGCAGGGTGCTGAGCAGGAAGGAGGGGCGTAGGCACTCCCGGGACCCCAGGCAGTAGAGGAAGGCCTTGGTCTCCACCCACACTGGGGGCCCAGGTGACCGCCCCTTCGGCTGGAAGCCGGCCTTCTGCCCAAAGCCCACTGGAGCAGAGTGGCAGCTCCCAGACTGCAGGCCCTCCGAAGACGTAGCTTCCATGGTGGTCCTGGCCGGCATCACTGTGCTGGGACCATGGTCGCTCCTTCCTTGTGCCCTGCCTGCGTGTGGCAATGCGTGCCCCCGTGCTCCCTGCTCACCCGACGGTCCATGCCTGGTCCTCTTTGCCGAAGGTGGGCTCAGGTGGGTACTGGCAGGACGCCGCCTGGCACCTTGGCCTAGCAGGCCCGGGGATTCCCCAGCCTGCCTGTGGCTGCTGCTCCAGGCCTGGTGCGTAGATCCTCGGCCCTCGCTGGTCCTGCCCAGCTGTGTCCTGGGCCGGGCCTCCACGCGCCTGCAGAGGTCATACAGAGGTGGCCCGCACACCTGGTAGGCGCAGCTGGGGGGGACGAGAAGGTAGAGCGAGCAGCGTGCCAGCAGGTGCACCAGCACGTCGTCACCCAGGCGGCGCAGAAGCAGCCCCCACGCGCGGCTGCCGCGCAGCGTCTCGGTCACCGTGTTGGGCAGGTAACTGCACACGCTGGTGGTGAAGGCCACGGGTGGTCCTCCGCGGGCGCCCCGCAGCAGCGCGAAGCCGAAGGCCAGCACGTTTCTCGCGCCACGTTCGCAGAGCCTCTGCACGACCCTGGCCACCAGCTCCTTCAGGCAGGACACCTGTGGGGGGCAGTCTTGAGTGGCTGGAGACAGAGGCGCCTGGAGCCCCAAGCGCGCGGCTCCACCGCCCACCCCCACCAGCGCAAATCCGGGGGCGACCCACCTGGCGGAAGG